ACCACCACCACGACCACCACGAGGAGCAGGAAAAGGAGGGAGGAGGAGGATGAGGGTGACAACGACAATGGCAACAGCCTCGACATCCTCACCCGACACTCGCAGCAAGACCGACAACCGTCCGCAACCACAACCACCACAACCACCTCGCCCACAGTGTACTCGTGTCGGGCTTTTCGGGCGTGTGCAGCTTCAAGGTTGGACCAGACTGGCACAGCTTTCAGACAGAGTGGGCAAGGCCACGGTGCTGCGAAGGGTTATGTCACGGCAAGTCTGAGTTTCTGATCCTACAACGGCAGGTTCTGCCCAGACATTTGCCCCACAATGATGGGCCCGAACCATGAATGACCGCTTCTGTCCTCCAGTACTCAGCGCAGAATTGAGCAAGGTCTAAGCATGAGCTGTGCGACCACCGCTGCACGCATCGCTCATTCGTTCGATATCCGTGGACCCGTTTCCTCTTATGTGCAGCCCTGAGGCACATGTCACGATGTGTCTGCTTGTGCCCCAGTCTGTTGTCTTGAGGACACTGCTTGCTCAGCATCCTTGGTCGCCATGAACGCTGCGCACCTGCATTGGTCTTAGTCACTCCGTTAAATGGCAGTAGCTGTTGGAGTTGTCTCGCCAGTTGCGCCTGACTTGCGCCTGAGGTGTATGTTTGACTCTGATCCACCAAAGCCTGACAATGCTGAAGCGCTGATCGCCAAGTGCTAAGCTCCTTCTTGACGGGCCATAGATGCAAGGATGGGAGGGTTTAGTTGTTGTGGTATCGTAAGGTGCACTTAGGGCACTCACTTCCACAAATGCAGCAGTGCTTCCTCCTCTGGCTGCCAATGCCCTGTGCAAGCCGAGATAAGCTGAGGTTGGTGTGAACACACTGCTGGGACCTGGTTCCTTCATAGGCCGGCGGGACTTGAAGGTTTCTTTCTGCGCCTGGCTGCTTTACAGCTAAGGCAACTGCATGGCCACAATGCTTTCACATCAAGGTGCGAAGGGAGAGATGGGAAATGGAGAGAAGGTGAAAGCGTTCGGAGGCCGCAGCTTCACCTTCAACCGCAGCGCAGACGGCTACCAGCGAGGTGAAGGCTGAAGCTTCACAGCCTTTTCTTCTGCGTGTCCGCGTCCGCATTCGTTTTACGCGGCTTGCCTTGTAGGCTGCGGGAGCGTTTTCGTGAAGCTCTACCAGGGCGACAAGAGAGATGAAGAAGAGCGTGTCTGTGTGAGGATTCTCAGACATGGGCCATATAGGCATAGCTGACTACGAGTTGATGATGCATCCTGAAAGTGTTCTGTTGCATTGAGGCCCTCATCGGCACCGCCACCAATCAGGCTTCTTGCCAAACACAGATGGCCACGAAGCAGGGTACAGCAGAGACTTTCTTCAGGATGGCCGCAGTGCAAGCTTGACGGCTCCAAACGGCCCTGCGCAGCAGGCGAGGCTTCCTTAGTTGTCTTGATTGTCTTGCGGCATCAGCTCGAGATGAATGAGAAGTCTTGTGACCGCAGGCAGTAATCAAGAAGTCGATGCGGTTTGCGGGCATTAATCCGAACACTGTGCTGCTTGCCATTTAGCGTTAGCGTTTTGGTTGCTTGAAAGTCGTGGGAAGTCCGCTCAGCCAGGTGTCCATAGCCGAGTGCCATGGCACTGGGACTGCTCTTGGCGACCCAATCGAAGTTGGTGCGCTGATGGCCGTCATGTCCAGGTCTTGGCAAGAGCTTAAAAGCCGGTTGTTAGGAAAGATCCCTTCCAGGGGGCTTTCGTTTAAGGCCCAGCTTTGCTGATCAGCCCAAGGAGGCGTGCGGAACGGGACCCCCCAAGACGAGCGGCTAGACCCCACCCGCGGAGGGACTCGCTCTGGGTCCGGGGGGCGTTTTGAGCGTATCGGGTTTGTTTTTGGTCGTGTTGGGGTGTATGCGGGGGCCTGGCGGTGAAGAAGTGGGCACGCTTCTGTCCTCTTTTGCCTCTTGGGTCCAGGCCCTTTGCATGAGCTTTCGTTTCGCTGGGCTTTGTGCAAGTTCGTACAACTTACAACTTTCAACTCCAACCTTCAAATGAGCATGTGGGGTGTGGTGGGTTTGAAGAAATCATGATCCTAAAAGTCAAAGCCCAAAAGGGCAGCCTGGTGGAGGTAAGGCCGAGAGGTTGCAATCCCAGAGGCAGCATTTACAAACTGCAAGGTTTGAGCAAAGTTGAGCAGCATGTTAAATGAATGTATATATATATATGTATATATATATATATATATATGGTAGCCCCGCTAGCGGAATCGACGTGCTGACTATCTGCTTGGTGCAGCACGGAGCACACACATGGCCAAGGCACGAGCGAAAGGTGCCCATTTTGAAGACCAGCGCCAAGAGCAACGTGGCCCACCTGGAGGCAGTGAAGCTCATCTCTCACGGTCTCTTCGAGTCTACGGTTTTTTTCTTCAAGGCCGGCGCCGGCATCGCGGGGTTGACGAAGTGCATCATGATGATCAACTTCGGCACGGCACCTCCAAACTGCCACTTCAACATTATCAACCCGCCTGGAACTCAGTGCTGACACGCTGACATGCTGAGCTCTGACAAACTTCACAGCTGCAGGCATCTGACAATCGAGGGCTATCCCGTTTACTTTGACACGGAGGTTCCAGCAATAATCTTCACACAGCAGCAACAGCAATGCATCCAACCTGGAGGACATTGATGTGGGCCTGAGCAGTTTGTACTGTGGGGTCTCGTACGGGCCAAACAGCGCCATGCCATCACATGCCAGCTGCCGTGTAGTGCTGAGGTCTTTTGGGTTTGGTGGCAGCCTAAGCTGAAAAGGTTTGTGCTTGACAGCTTCTGAACCGGCTGACAGCATGTGAATGCTCAAGATCAGGTCAAGAAAGTATTAGGTCCACCCTGCGAAGTAGACGCAGATTGGGCTGATGCAAAGCTGGCACCACCGCTTGTGTGTGGATGAGATGTGATGGCGGGGGGCGGGCAGAGCAGATATCCCCCATGGCGGCAGGGCAAAGCTTCTTCCAATGCGGGCAACTCGAGAGGGAACACATGGGAAGGGAGGGCGGCGACTTGCGCATACTGTTACGAGACGGTGCATGCCACAATCAAGCCACAAAGCAGGAAAACGATATTGAATTTTTTGGAAACTGAGCGAGAACCCGTCAGGAATCAGATTTGTTCTCAAAAAGTCTGAGGTGCAGCTGGGGCTCTAGCATGTAAGAGTGTTCATGCGTGGAGCCTGGGCAACAATAAACCTGTCCAGAATCCATACATGCAACACACAAAATTCAATTAGGACGAAAAGTGTTTACCAATGAAATCGAGTTTTCAGGCGAATCTCGTCCCAGGTGAGTTTTTGGTGCCACTTGAACCAGCTGGTAATATTGTGGTGATGGAAAGATTTTGCGCGGCTGGCGTGACAAGGAGTGACCCCAAAGGGAAACCTTAGGTAGAGTCCCTTGGTCCCAAGAAGTCACCCTCGACCTAAACCCCAAGTAGCGTCATGTTCCGTGGGTCTGAGACAACGAGACTAAAGCAAAAGCATCCAGCAGAGTAAGAGGGATCCCAAAGGTGATCCCAAGAGGAACCCCCAAGTAGAGTCCCTAGGTCCCAAGAAGTGATCCCCAGCCTGAACCCTAAGTGGGGTGAGATTCATGTGGTTCTGAAAAAATGGGACAACAGCGAAACCTTGAGCAGAGCCACAAAGATCCCAAGTAGTGACCGCAAAGCGAGACCCTGACCAATATCACTCGTTCCAAGTGATTTGTTCCGTTTCGTGTCAGTGATTGCGTTTTTCTCGCCCTGAGTGATTTCAACAGTCATGTGCGACAGGCTACGGACGCTGTGATCCTCATGACCCTTGAGGTGCTTGAAAAGGCATTGTAAAGCGCACCCATTGTGAAAGAACTAAGGTCTGAAGCAGTCTTGATTGCAGGTGTCCGACTTCTTGACCATGTCGCCACTTCGGTGGCTCAAGAATGCATTCCTTTGAGCTCGACTTGGTGAGCGGAAAAGCTAAGTGCTTCTACAGACATGTTCGATGTAGTATCTGTTCTTCAGCTTCCAGCTTTCATCCTTCATAAGGTCGCACTCCTTTCAGGTGCTCTACATTTGGCATTAGCTGAGTGTCTAGTTGCCGTGCTGTCAACAGTGTGTGTAAAGCTGCCTGCATGTCCACGCTTCCAGGATATCGCGTGGGTTCTGAGAGTGTTGTCTGATGCGAGTATGTTACATTGCAAACGACGACCACAGGTGCACTGCAGCGTTTTGGTGGTGATTGTGATTTCCCGGGCTTGCCTGCTCATGAAGCTTTTGCCAGCAGCACAAGCCTGGGTCGAAAAAGAAGAGTGGGGTATGAGGCAACTTCCAAATCCAATTCAAAACATGAAAATCCAAAGCCCAGGAGTGTTTCCAACACAGCCGTCGCCTGCTTTGATCCTGACCGGCGGCCGGAGTCACCTCTGGCCAGATAGGTTAGCTTCCAGGCAACGCGTGCTCAGTGTGCCCAACACCGCCAGGTTATTTCCACGCATGCTTGTGGCGTCCTGATGTTGACCATGCAGTTCCGATTTCTGCTGGTGTTTTTTTGCGTCTGATTTTCACGCTCGATGCAGCTGCAAGCCTTGTTTAGCCTCCTATTATGGCCTGATGCCCGCATTGCCAAGTTTCAGCATCGGGGTTGATCATGCTGTTCCGGGACGCCCACGTGGCACTCAGCTTATGGAACGTTGGCTTACCAAGGTTTGCTTTGGATTGCGCAGGATCCATTCTTAGGTTCCATATTGAGTTCACGGAAGCAAGCCAGGCTCCAAGATGGGTCAGACCTCTTGCGAAACTTTCAGATTCGCTTGTAATTCCGCTCTAAGGATCTCACGGGTCTGTTCTGTTTCGGGGCCTTGTGAGAGTCTGCACTGCTTGAAACCTAAACGTAACCATGCCCTGAGGGATGCCGGAGATAGGACGCATATTTATCATCAGATAGCAACTCCGCAGCAAACTCCTTGAACAAGTTTTTCCACAAGTGTTGATGGATGCGGCCTTGCACAACACCAAAAATTAAATCTAAACACTGGGAATTACGACAATGTGGTATTCTTGGGGGAACGCAGTGCCCATTATCCCTAGTACCCACAAGCTCCCTCAAAAACCCTGGGTCCAAAATTCATACCAGTCTTAAACTCTAAACCTTACGCCCTAATTATTAAAGCCTCTGCAAGATACCCTGGTTGTCAGGTCGGATTGGGGCCTCCGGGCATCGGAAAGCGGACCTTGCAGGTAGGATCCAAGGGTTCAATGGAGAGGTAAGGGGTTCAAGGTTTGGGGTTTTGGGTTCGCAGTTAAGGTGCGATGGTTAGACGGCGGATGCGATATCGGCTTCGCATAGCTAGATTCTAGAAAATGGGAGACTTCAACCGGGGTGCCTACCAGGCCTCCATAAGCCCTTTCAAGGGCTTCCTTCACCAAGGCCCTTACCTGAAACCTTAAACATCACATGCTAGAACTCACGGAAAGGTCTTTCCGGAACGACCGAGCACCCTTTAAGCGAAAAGTTGTGCCATGCTAAGGTTCATCACAGGGCTTCAAATGCATTCCTCAAGTAAAGATCTCTGGATTCCGAGCAGAATTCCAACAACCCTATATCTCATATGGGGGGTATTGTCATACAGGTTCTTGCAAAGAAGGTACAATTCAGAATACTTTTCCTTAAACAGGATCCTAACCAGAAACGCAAACCTATTTTATGGCTATCTTGGGAACAGGCCTCTTGAGCAGCCACCATCTGTAGGTTTAGGGTTGAGCAACCCTTTAGAGCGACTTCAGGTGCTTTGGAGGGCTCTTGCATGGTTCAGGGTTTGGGGCTTAGGGTGGTTTTGGGCTGAGGGTTCCCAACCGTGGTCCCCTCACCGTTTTTCCCTGAGGGTCCAAGGATCCAAATGATAGGGTCCCTTTAAGGGGGTTGTAGGGTGAGATATATATGGGGATATATGCGGACTCTATAGGGCTATATAGGACCCAAATATTTATAGTGTTTTGGGTCCCAGAGACCATTCAGATTATAGTATTTGGGCCCTGAGGCCCTATTATTTGGGTCCTTGGACCCTTAAGGTCTTGCTTAGGTTGGTTTGTAGGGCTTTAGTCGATAGGCTTTGTAATAGGCATTAAAAAGAGGTGGTGAATGGTTCATTTCATCAACAGTGGTCCCACCCTTAGATGGAAGTTTTGTGTGAGAGGTGCGTGCAGAGAAACGGCTACGCGAGAGCGCAGAGGCTGAATCTCTTGCTCTCGACTTCGACTGCTGGTCTAGCGATTTGAGGAAATTCATAGGAGTTCTATGCTTTGGAGTTTAGGCCTCGGGGCTGGAGTTTAGGGGCTTAGGCTTCCCCGAACATGAACAACTAGTAGAGAAGCCAATGCGGTATGAAGCCATCTGTTTGCTTGAGGCTTAAACCCTAAACCCTAAACCCTAAATCCTAAACCCTACATCCCTAAACCCTTAATTAAACCCTAGATCACTAAGCCCTTAAACCCTAAAACACTAAACCCTTAAACCCAGAATTCCATGTAGAAGCCTGAAGACTTACCAGATTTGGACGTTCAACTGGGAAACAATGGAAACGAGATGGTGACTGGGATTGCATACCCAGAGGGTCCACATATACAGCTATTAGGGAATTGGGACCCATAATTCCTTCTATAGCATGGTATTTTGGGGCCTAATTCTCTAATGGTTGTATTTATGGACCCTCTGGGATAGTGCTGTGTTTAAGGAATCCCTGCATTATGTAGTTAACAATACTAAGTGGGGATATATGTACTGATAGGAGGTTGCACGTTGAGCGCCCCTCACCCCTGAATCAGCCCACGCCGTTTAGGGTCCAGGGTTTGGCCTTTGTAAACGCCCATAACCTTGGGGAGGCACACAACTAGCAAACGGGGATCGGGAGCTTTTTGAAGCAGGGGAGGCTACCCAATACTTGGGTACTTGGGATTTGGGTGATAGTATAGTACAGATATTGGGTGAGTATATGATTATTGGGTACTTGGACCCTTAGGATCATTCAGGGTTATGTAATCTTCCGTACTTGCGCGACCTTCAGACGACGAAGTCCGGGAAATATAGAACACAACCTATTGCCCTAGTCCACAGTAGACCCAGCCAGACTCTTCACTCTCTATCCCCCGAGCTCTGAAAAGTATCCAAAACCAAAAATCTTCAGAACCTTCAAGCCCAAACTCCCTTCCCGTGCAGCTTCTACACACCGAAGCCTTCCATTTCAGGGCGGCAAAACAGTCAGTACAAAAAAAGGCCTCTCTCAATTTACTGAATGCCCTTAAGGATGGAAGCCAAGTAAGCGAAGATAGACTGCCTGAATGTATGACAGAAGCAAGACGTTCCTGGTTTCTGACGGCCCAGTTTCAATCTACAATCCAGATATGATGTATGTTGTGTGCACCGGCTTTATGAATGAGCTAGCTGGCTAGTACCTGCCGTTGTTAGCACGAGTTGCCATCGGGAGATGATTGTTTTGTCTACTGATGTTGTGCTCAGTCCATGTAAGCCCTAAACCCTAGACCCTGCACCCCAATGTTGATGCAAGAAGTCCTGGACCGCACCAAGCCCGGAAAGACTGGCAGTTACTGTCGCTCAAGGACACGAAATCAAGAAAGATTTCTTGCATAACCGTACGTAGGTGGCCGCATGGAAATCAAAATGCTCATTTGGGATTACTCAAGGCACTTCTGGGGTTGGCAGACACAAATACGTCTTATACGGGCTTTATAGAGAAATGCGTCACAGT